CGGAGCTCGGGGCGACCGGGTGGCGGGGCTCGAGTTCGGGAGTCACCCCGGGGAGCCCCGGCTTCCGCCGCTGGACAATGGGGCATCCCGCGGCCCGCCCGGCGCGCGCCCTCCTCCGCTCGCACGGATACCCTGGGCGGAGGGAGGGAGGGAGGGAGGGAGGGGCGCCGCGCCGTGGGTTCGCGAGGAAATCCCAGTGCCTCCCGCCCCGGGGATGACACCGAGGCCAGATTTGGAAGCTTAACCCGCCCGGTGGTGTTGGGTTGTGCAATATTCCGTTTCGGTCCCTGGCCTTTTAGGCAGTTGCGTGCTCCTCCTGGCACACTTGGAACAACTTGAAGCCGCACAAAGCTTCGTGATTAGGACAACTGTGAGGAAAAATGTCTGTGTTTCTTTTCAAACGTCTTGGCAACTAAATGTTATGTGAAGTGACATTTCCTTTGTAACCGTTTACTAGGTACAAGAAAGACAAGACAAAGGCGTTTGTATCTCAGACGGTATGGATACTAATTTTATCCAGAACAACTGTAATGAAAATAGCATTATCCTTTTTACAAAAAAAAAAAAAAGGCTTATTTTTAGAAAGCTACTGCCCCCCCCAATGAGCTTTATGCTTTAACAAGCCAGTAGTCCAAAGCAAGTTAGACACTCTTCAAAGTGCCTACACACATAAAATTGTGGGTTTTTTTTTTTCCCGTTGGCAGGTGAACCAAATAGGAAATACTTCTGAAGTACTATTTAACCTAAACCTGTTTAATAAGGTTCTGGATATCCAGAGCCTAAATTCCATGCTATCAAACATATTCCTGCTATGGAATTTTATTAATTCAACAAGAGATTTTAGTTCATACCCCAAAGGTCTGGATGATGGTATCAATGGAAAAACAACCAAAACGTTAATAGGGGTAATAAAAAAGCCTATGGACTAGACAAGGTGGACAAAGATTGAAACGAGGTTTTCTTTAGTGAGTCCAGAATACAAGAGCCTGCTTAAAGAGCGCTGCTCCCTAGGCAATGTCGTCAAGAACTCTCAGACTGAAAGCTCTCCATCTCTGACCTAAATTCCTTTCGTGTTAGACCTTACTTTTCCTTGCACTTTTTTCAAGATTTAGTTATCTGTATGGTATGTGTGTGTCAACATGTGAGTATGTGCATGTGAGTTCAGGTGCCCCCAGAGGCATTGGATCCCACTGGAGCTAGAGTTACAAGCACTCAAGAACTCCTGGACTTGGGTGCTAGGAACCAAACTTGGGTCCTCTACGAGGCAGCAGTAACCAACCACTCTTAACCACTGGCCCATCTCTCCAGCCCGCAAACCTGTTTTGTTTTGTTTTAAGGCTCTCTGTTAATCTCTGATGTTTCAAAAGAAACTGAACACCAGATCCTTCCTTTAATCATTTCGATAATCCCAGCAGGAAGAAGCTAGATAGCAAGTTCAAGGCCAGCCTGGCACTTTGAGATGCTGTCTGAGAAACAAAACAGCAACATCCCCAGAGTCACCACTGACAGGACAGTCATCCATTAGCATCCAGCATCATGAGCTGGAAAAGGAGTCATGTAGGACACCAGATTCTCTTGCTGACGTTATCAGTCAAATCCTGTCAGTTCTCTCCCGGAGTTCCACATCTGCCTTACAACCATCCAAAGCCACCACCCTCTACCATGTATACTAAAAATGGATCCTTCTGATTCATCCACTCTTGAAGATCTGATCCATTCAAGGCTAGCCCATTTGTGTGCACTCTCATACCCCTGCCCAGCCCAATACTTTTTAAAAGAGCCTGTGAAACATTTGTAGTTCAGTGCTCAATCCTGCTTAATCTCCAACATCCTCCCCCACCCCCAAGGGAAAAATTACACTTAGGAGAAAATCCTTGACTGTCTGTGTCTACCCCCTACCCTGCACCCCGACAGAGGCACGTAGTTCAGCTGGCCCAGGATGACTTTGAATTTCTTTCTTTCTTTTTTTTTTTTTTTTTTTTTTTTTTTTTTTTTTTTTTCGAGACAGGGTTTCTCTGTAGCTTTGCCCCTTTCCTGGAACTCGCTTTGGAGACCAGGCTGATCTCGAACTCATAGAGATCCGCCTGCCTCTGCCTGGGATTAAAGGCGTGCACCACCGCCGCCGCCGGCTAACCTTGAATTTCTGGTGCTCCTAACTCCACCTCCCAAATTTTGAGCCTAGCTTCAGGTAAGCCAAGCAAGCACTCTGTCACCTGAGCTATATCCCAAGCCCAAAACCTCAAATCCTGAAGTCAACAAGGCACTCCACTACCTAACTTAGCCAACCTCAGCTGACTTTTCCTTGAATCTGGCATTTTTAAGGTATCTCAGACTAAAGACTTACTCAGAGAAGTGGCTGGTGTCCTAGGCAGAATTAAATGAAAAACATTCAGCTATGCTCTCTACTGAACAACTCTCCTCCTTGTTTCTTCTCTCTCTCTCTCTCTCTCTCTCTCTCTCTCTCTCTCTCTGTGATAGAAGGGTAGAATTCATTATTTTCCCAGAGTGGTCTCAAATTCCTAGGTTCAAGTTGCCCTCATGCCTCAGTCTCCTAAGTAGCAGGGACTACAGCAAATAACCACCATACCCAGCTCATTTGACTTCTTTCAAATGAGAGATGAAGCAATAATATAATTGTCCTCCTGGCACTCAGGCATTCTGGTTCCAGACTTGATCTGGAAGTATTATTACTAAAATATGGGGAAATCCCAATAAGCTAAAAGCAGAACAGGGCAAGGCATGATGGTGCACACCTTTAATCGCAGTGCTTGGGAGGCAGAGGCAGGTAGGATCTCTATGAATCTGAGGTCAGCCTTGTCTACAGAGCAAGTATCAGGCCAGGGAAAGCTGCATAATGAGACAGTTTCAAAAAACCAAAAATTAAAAATTTATTTAAAAAGCTGAACAGATGATTGTTTATAGCACAGGGTTTCTCTGTGCAGCCCTGGCTGTCCTGGAACTCGTTCTGTAGACCAAGCTGGCCTTGAACTCATAGAGATCTGCCTGGCTCTGCCTCCCAAGTGCCTCTGCTCCCCCGGTGGAATACTGGGATTAAAGGCATGTACCTCCACCACCTGGCTGGTTTTAGGATATTTTTAAAAGGAGGAAAAATTAAAGGCACATGCCTTTAATCCCAGCACTCAGGAGGCAGAAGCAGGTGGATCTCTGTGAGTTCAAGACCACCCTGGTCTACAGATCGAGTTCCAGGACAGCCAGGACTACACAGAGAAACCCTGTCTCAAAAGAAAAATATGAAATTCTCTGGTCTGAGAAGTCTTATTTCTGTGTGAGAATCATCTTTATTATCTAGACAAGAATTAAATGCTGCATTAAGCCAAAGGATATAACAGGCTGACGTCCCAGATCTGCTACTGAATAAACTAGGGGCTTTCTCATCTTAGAACTACTATTTCTTTGTTTAAAAATCATTAGTGGTGCAGGAGGAATAGGGGCACCTGCCAACTTAGTGTGAAGGTGAGAAGTCAAGTCTGTGCAGTCAGTTCTCTGCTTGCATCTTTATTTACCTGGGTTCCCAGAATCAGACTCAAGTTGCCAGGCTTTTATGGCAAGTATGCTTACCCACTGAGCAAACGTACAGGCCCCAAATTGCTGTTTCCATATCTATTAAAGAGGTGACTTGAAATGCAAATTTCTACCTCAAACATAGATTTTTCAAACTCTCCAGTTTCATGTTATTTAAATATATGCAAATGGTTTTGCCATTTAAGGTTTTCTCCATTTGAATTTTAGCTTTATATAAAATTTATAGAATTTTAGTCTTTATAGAAAAATAGTCTACTTTTTCCATTATATGGACCCTCACTGCCCCTACACACACACACACACACACACACACACACACACACACAAACACACCAAAAAAAAAAACAACCCAGCAATAAATCCAGGTATGGCTGTACACCCCTGTAGTCATAGCCCTGTGAAGATTGAGTAAGAGGATCGAAAGTTCAAAGCCAGGGCTGTTGAGATAGCTAAGTAGATAAATTCAGTCCCCAGGACCTACATAGCACCAACTCCCCAAAATTATCCTGACTTCAACATGTGCACTAATAGGCATACATCCACAGGTGTAAACATACACAAAGAAAGAAAGAAAAAGAAGGTTTTAAAGTACAAGGCTCGGGCCAGCAAGATGCTTTCGCAGGGAAAGCGCTT